TTTTCCTTTCGCAGATGAATGGTTGAGACCTGTGATGAAAAAAGACAAGCAGGTGCTGGTACACTGGGGTTTTTTTCCAGACAGGTAAAGAAAGGTGGGGGAAGAGAGCACATCCCAAATGTTGCTGAAGTTTGTTGAAGGAGAAGTGTTTCTTGCAAACAGGCCCATATATAAACATGCTATTCCTTGAGCTTGCTGACTCTGATTTCTTCTGATACCAATACTCTGCATTCTGTGCTTCTGGGGCTGTCAGGAGTGAATCTGAATTGGGGATTCCCTGAATTTCAATGCTTTTTCCTTGTTCTTCACAGTATAACAGGCTTGTTTTATGTGGGCTCTTCTAAAACATTAACCCAAGTACCCAGTACTACATTCCTTTTGGTTTCTGGATGGATGTATATCAGTGTTTAGATAATGAAGCAAGCAGAGATGTCTTATGGAATGTAACCACTGAGCAATTTTGTATTGATGCTGATTTTTATTGTGTCCAAGACTTGGTAAAAGGCTTAAGCCAGTGGCTATAAAACTGTAATATTTATACCTGCTTCTGACACTGGCAGGTGGGTGAGGTTAGAAAAGAAGTGCATTTCTCCCCACATTCACTAATAGGGCTGCAAACTGAACCAAACCTCCAAAATTGGAGTGAGCTTTCTCATTAATAGAACCTTAAAGCCCAAAGGGCAGTCTTTGATCATCTTGCTGGACCTTGCTTAACGAAGGAGAGAGATTTCACTCCATGGCTTGTCTTCAGTCAAGTGCAGGTGGCTGCTGCAGTAGCTGAAGATGTCAGCGGGTAGCGTGTGTGCCCTTAGTGATTTTAAATGTATTTGCAGTAATTGGTTTCTGAGCCTAGCCTAGGAAGACACAAAAGACTGAAAACTCAGCACCGGCTCCTACTTATGCAGTCTCTATGCAGGGACGAATATCTGCTCTGCTGCACGTGCGCAGAATTCTTGGGAGCCACATATATTTTTTAATGGAAGAGAAAAACAACAATCACACTGAAGTTTCTCTATTCATATAAATAAATGAGTATTTTTCATTATATCAGTTATCAGATTTGCATGTTGAATCTGTGTGTGTTCAAATATGTGTTGGTAAATATCAAAGAAAACAGGAAAAATGCTATATGCATATCCTTTCCTGCTTATGATTTAAGTCACTTAATACATGCCTGGGGTTGATTACAAGGTTTTTTGGCTCTTAATGTTCCTGAGTGCAGTTTTTTATTGTTGTCTATTGCTATGGATAGGCTTTTGTGTGAATAGCATGCAGAAAAGTGAATATAAGTAATAGATGGATTGTACAGCAGTAGGGTTTGCAGGACACACGTCCTCCTTTATTTCAAGGGCCCAATATCTTTCGCTTAACACCCAGGGAATGGGAACGACTTAATTAACAGAAAACCAACCTTTGAGGAAGTGACCCAGAAATAGTGCGTTTACCCTTGAGTCTAATGGCTATTTGTGTAATTTCAAGCTGGAGCTGTTTTCACTAGGATGGCTTCTGACTTCAGGAAGTTATAAATGTACATTAGATGCTTTGATTCCCTCAGTTTCACTGTGGGAGTGTTTATTTTCACTAAAAACAAACTATTCCTCTAGCAAAAAACCCCAGTGATTATTCTCCTTATTTAACTTTTCATTGAGTGGAGAATAACTTGCTATTCTATCCCAGAGGTATGATCCCAATCAGACTATGCTAAAATTGCTGAATGAATATCCCTGCTGCTGATCTGGATGAACAACCGAGGCTACCAACTTTTTCTTACCACTTTTCCCACAGCTATGACACTTGGGTTCATGCTAATGAAATAGATGCTGAAATTGAGGATCCTCCAATTCCCGAGAAGCCATGGAAGGTAAGCCTGTCTTGAACAGTTCCCCTAAGTTATTGTGGTAGATCTCAGCCTCAGGTACTACTGCATAAACATTTTAAAGTGTTGTTGAATATTAATAACTGTATTTCCATATATACGGAAAAGCAGAAAAATATTTTTAAGGTTGTAACGGAAATGCCTGAAGTATATCTGTGGATGAGGGAATTATACCTTTGAAAAACACTTTTTATCCATGAAAAGGGAGGAAAATGCATCTCTGTTAATGATTGGTGATTATTTTGACTCAGTTTATGTGTTTTGTATTGGAGGTAGCTCCTTTCTGTGCTGTTGAAATGCAGCCATCTCCGAGGTGAAAGATGGAAATTCATTATTTGGGCAGGATGGCATTATACATTATTATTTAAGGAGAAGTGAGGAAAATACAGTATCTACACGATATTTTTGAAACAGTGTTATTAGAGAAAATAATGTAGCTAGAACACTGGCGTTTCCACACGCGTGTGTCAGGGCTCACCACGTTCCTTGCCCGACGCAGGCGGTGCGGAGCCCTTGCCTGGCTGCTGCAGCCTGCTCTGATGTGGCTTTGAAGACTGGCAGTTCGAGCTGGTCCCCTTCCTAAAGACTTCAGGGAACGTTTTTCCAAAGTGCTGAAGGAAGAGCTACCTTAGTCTGCTGTCACGTTGACATCTGTTCAGTGTTTTGCTCACAACATGCTATAACACAGAAATGGCCAAAGTCTTAACTGCTTTAGAAGGACGAATTGAATTTTTCAATCTCTGGTGCAATTGAAATGTTGCTGTTCCTTTGCAATGCTGTGCAGGTAACTCTTGCCAGCCCCAGGAGGTATCACCAGCCACCCTTCAGCTCAGCTGCGCTGCCGAGTCCTGCGCCCTCAGCCCACCCTTCCCCAGCTCCATTTCACGTTGTTTCGTGAAGCTCTTGAGTCGGTTTGTCTTGACTCAGAGCTGTGGAAGAGCCAGTTTCTGTGTGCTCTTAGTACAGTGCGTAGGTGAAATTTCTTGATTTGACTAAATTTGCCAAATGCACCGAGGCTGCTTAAAAGATAAAAGTTTTTATTTTTTTTTTTAATGTAGTGACAGTTGCATTTCACACCCTAGAGTCACAGCCAGCAGGGCAGTAATGTCTAAGAAAACCTGCAGCTGGTTTCAGAGTCTCACGGTGTTGTAGCTCACTTTGCTGGTTTGGAAAGACCCTGTTTGAATGGGAACACTGTTCCTAGCTGATTTCATAACGATGAAAGAAGAATGGGCGTTTCTCTGCCTGCAGACTGCTTGAGCGCTCACCCCGACAATGGCAGCTTTATTGGGATTCTCCACATGATTTGTTTTCCTTGTAACTCATTGGTTTGCCTTTCTGCTTTAGTTCATGGCAAGAAAACAATACAAAATAGTTAAGGAGGACTAAAGTTTACTTTTTTGTCCTATTCTCGGACTGATTCTTTTATACATAACGCGCAATGCTGCTCTATGTCTGTTGCTGAACTGAATAGAAGAGTTAAAAGGGCAATTCTGGTCAGAAAACAACTTGATTTCAGCTCAAAAATGATCCATTTCAGGCAATTACTTGGAAATAACTAAACATGTGTTTTTGTGTGTGTGTGTTTTTGTGTATGTATATAAAAACCACCCTAACTTCACACTGTAGAACACTTAGGCAACTGAAAAGCAGGCACAGAATTCAGTAGACTATGTACACCTACATTCGCCTGCGTTCACCCTTTAGTGCATTGTCCAATACAGACCTCATCCCATTTATTATCTGTGGAAGCACTATGGATACTCGGATCTTCAGACCTTTCTAACCAAAGTGCAAATATTTCCAATATTTTGCTAGGTCTGTTGTGGAGTGTGGTTTTGGTTTGGTTTTTGCTTTTCTACCTCCAAAAAGAGTGTCAGCATGCAGGTATGTCCATTTGTTCTTAGGTGCATGCCAAGTGGATTTTGGACACAGACGTATTCAATGAGTGGATGAATGAAGAGGATTATGAGGTAGATGAAAACAGGAAATCAGTGAGTTTTCGACAGAGAATCTCCATGAAAAATGAAGAGGTAAGGTGCTTCTCTGCATAATGAGTGACCTGCTGGTGTGCTAATGTTCACAAAGCTGCTAACATTCACCCAGTCAAACAGTTCAGTGTGAGGTACCCATGATAACACAATCTGGTTTAATTTTCTCCTGACACATCTGTCTTTTCATCCAGGAACATAATTGTGTTCTTTGACCCCCTCCTATCCCCAGCATAAGAGATAATACCCACACTGTGCCTTCTCGCAAATGAAAACGTGTAGTACGTCAGACAGGAACAATTAATTTTTGATTTCCAAATTCCCTAAACCAAAATGCTTGTTGAGACTGATTTTGTGTGTCCATTCCCCCTAGCCCACCTCGTAGTGCAGGGAGTTAAGACCCTGAGGACACGTTCATTTTTGCCCTGATGGATGGACTAAAGTCAGCAGTTAACGTTCGAATCACACCCTTTAAGAGCACAGCCCTTGGATAGTGATAGCAGCAGCTAAGGGATGGCTACAGAAAACTTAAGGCGTTTCACAGTAACAAATGGAAGTATTTGGGAGCAGAATGTGGTCTCAATGTGATAAGTTTAGCCCCCTTGTTGTAGGATATATTAAAGACTGTAGCCTGCCATGTTTCAGCAACTGTAGTATTTGGGAGGAACTAATAACTTTGCTTCTTTACCAGCCTGTACGTAGTCCAGAGAGAAGAGATAGGAAAGCGGCAGCAAGTACAAGGAAGAGGAAGCATTCTCCCTCTCCTCCTCCCACTCCCGTGGAATCGAGAAAGAAGACAGGGAAGAAGGGGTGAGTGTCCAGCTCGGGAAGGCGAGACTGTAGCTTCTCTTGAGAAGTGCCTGTGGGAAGGTCTCTCTCCTTCCTCGCTTGTCTCACGTTATTTCCACAGTAATTGGTGCCCTTCTGATAGTGCACTATGCTAAATGTCTATTCTGCTGTACAAGTTTGTTGTTTTCAGGTAGAGGAAAATCTGATGCCGAATCATCACGTTACTTATGTCTCAACAGCAGGGTTCTCATTACTGTGTGGAGAATAGAGCTTCTTAAGTGAAAAGCTGCACTACTGCTTCTAAAATGATTCAGACTCGTTTAGTTCGCTTAATGCAAGCATATAGTACACATACTCTTTTTAAAGCCCTGAAAATCACTGCATTAATTTTTTTTTGTCTACATAATTAGGTGCTTTTAAAGCTCGCTCATCAGTTGCGACTCTGCAATATATTAGCATTTGTTAATTACAGGTAGCCTAAAATAAAGGTGATGCTTTTTTTTTAACCTGAAATGTCTTATTTTCAATAACTAGACCAACTTGATTGTGTTAGATTTGTGTGGTTTTTGGCTTTTTTCTTTCTTTTTTGAAGAAAAGGTATGTCTTGAAATGGTCTACCTCTTTTTTTCTCTGCCCTGTTTTGCGCAGTAGATGCCCTTATCAAACCTTTAAAAAGGACACATAGGTGAATTGCTAATCCATTGAACCTCACTAATATATAAGTGCAGCCAACATATTAGAGGCAATTTTGATTTGAAATTAAGAATTTATAGAGTATTACTCTAGTGTTTCAAAAAAGGGAAATAACCATAATTTTTTGAAATTGAAGTGGTACTTCGTTAGAAGCTGATTAGAGTGCAAAAGGTGCTCACATCCTCTTAAATGTTACTTCATCTTCATAATATTTAGAGAAGCTTTTTCTCTAACTGGCCAGCACCATTTTCTGCAGCACTCTTGCTATCGTAAGGTATTTTGGCCCGATTCTTTAAAGCTGAGATTTGACGAAGGCAAAAGGCAAGACGAGAACCTCGTGACGCTTGCAGCTGGCAGAGACTTTGTGTTTTCTCTTGTAGCCAAGCAGCCTTATATGGGAAAAGGAGAGGGCAAAAAGAAGAAGATGAACAAGAAGATCTTACTAAGGACATGGAGGACCCCACACCAGTTCCCAACATAGAAGAAGTGGTCCTTCCCAAAAATGGTAAAATGTGTCTGGGCTGCATTTTTTGGGTCTTAAAACAACCACTTAAGCAGCATAGTGTAAATATGCATGTACTTTATCAAAGCCTTGGAATACTCTGTGGCTTTGAGGTAGGATGATCTGTCCCCATCTCAGTTTTAGCTAGACAATAATTCAGATTTTAGGACTGTGCTAAGAAGAGTAAGAAATTCACCTTCTACTGCATGTTTTTGAAATACATTTAGGAAAATGCACTGAAATGTTTAATTAGGCATGTTTTAGGTTTGGTCTGTGTGCTGAAATCATGGCATTTTCGAGTATGGAGTTTTCTGGAGCAAAAGGATAAAGTTGTCAAGTACCCAAGATAACCAAATCAAATTAGTGGAAACTGACCGCATGCCTGATGCATTCAGTTCTTAATCCTTTTCAGAAAAGTGCTTATCTATACAATTTCTATAAAATATCTGCTGGGTAAAGAGCAGATCAGAAGTAAGATGTAATTCCTTTTTGTCGGTCCCCAACACCAAACTGTTTTGGGTGTCGTCCTGTTCAGTTTTACCTGTTTTGAACTTACATGTGAGACATGTAAGAACTGCTAAATGTGATGCAGGTGGGAGGAGTACAGAACTTCATCCCCTGAATGCATGAATAAAGGCTGCAGTGTGCTCAGGGCTGCAGTTGCAGAGAAACCAAACAAACGATCTGTTGTACTGGGACTGCAGAGATCAGATGAAATCTTCTGAACTGCAGAGATATGACCAATAAAATAACCAACTGTTTATTTGTAAGATAGTCTGGCTGCTGCATGCTAGATTATTGTATCTTGTTAGCTTACTCATCAGAATTTCAATCTTGCTTTCTTTCGTAGTGAACCCAAAGAAAGACAGCGAAAACACACCTGTGAAAGGAGGAACAGTAGCAGACCTAGGTAAAAGAAAAGTGTCTTATAGTAAAATCATGTTTACAGATAATAGAATAAATATCTTTAAATCTCTCCATCTTAAAAGGAATCTGTAATTCCAGTCCTTTAACTGCTTTAGTCTCTATATGTATTCCAGGTGGAATGTACTGGCTCATTTCCCCTTTGAGGCTCTGTTTCTCCTTAGGCATCTCCCCTGCCATGCGTGCATGCATACCCACACATATACATATACACACACATATATATATATACAGTAGGAGTAAGGTAAATCACAGGTTTCCTGGGCTTTGCTAAGCTTTTGGCATCAGAAATCTAGACTAGTCTCCCACATCCTATTAAACAAGACAACATCTAGGGCACTGGGCCAGGCTGTAATTAATTATGGATTCCCAAGTGTTGAAAAATTCTAATTATCGTTGGTCTGTATTCCAGTTCTTATCTGTTCCCTTGCTGGGGTAGCCGAGTGCATGCATAAAGATGGGATTGTCTTAATGAAGTGCTGCCCATTTTACTTCCCTCCTCAGTTCCCCCCAGGGCAAATATCCTTTCCAATTAAGCCGTGGTATTGCTAGAGAGGCTTTTGAGTGAACAGATGCATTTTGTTAGTTTGTCTGTTTTTACCTTTCAGATGAGCAGGATGAGGAGACGGTGACAACTGGAGGAAAGGTAACAACAGCCATTCAGTGTTGAGCTGAGCTTGGTGGAAACTGAGATCAGCTTGATCCAGTAGCTTACAACAGAAATGTTTAGTAGTGTATGAGATCAAATTGGTCACTGCTGGGAATGCTTAAGTACCTCAAGGGAGGCAGTGAGGAGGATGGGCCGGCCTCTTTTCACTGGTGGCCACCGACAGAACTAGAGGAAACGGGCCCAAACTGAAACACCAGAAGTTCCACAGGAACTTAAGGAAAAATTTTTTAGCAGTGAGGGTGCCAGAGCACTGGAACAGGCTGCCCAGAGAGGTTGTGGAGTCTCCTTCTCTGGAGATCTTCAAACCCGCTTGGACGCAGCCCTGTGCCACGTGCTCTAGGTGACCCTGTGTGTGCAGGGGGGTTGGACTGGGTGACCTCGAGAGGTCCCTGCCAACCTTCAGCATTCTATGATTATAAAGAAATCTACCTTAATCTAGCTTAAGAAATGACAGGGTGAAATTTATGTAACTTTTAATAAACGAGATTTTAAAACACTCTTCTCAGTTTCAGCACTAAATCTAGACCCTAGGAAGCTTTCCTGATCACTTAATAGAATTGCCTGCATAGCTTCTGTTTTTAATTCCCTTGTTTGTGCAGCAGGATCCGTTTGTAACAGCTTGCCTAGTAAGGTGGCTTCCTCGCCATGCAGATAAGCACAGATCACGTCTGTGTTAGGTTTGTGCAGTCGCAGACCTGCACAGATGTAGCTCCTCGGATGTGTTCCTAGTTTCACACATTTGTCAAGAACATCTGACTTTCTCTCCATACTGATGGACTTCTAATTTTACTAGATTTCAGCTCATGCATCTGCCTTGCATATGTGTTTTCAGAATTGATCTGTGTCAAACGGGCTTTTTAAAGTTTATTTTTGCCCTTCATGTGTTTCTCTGTAACAAATGTAGTTTGGGAGAAGGATGTTGGAAGTTAAGGGGATTAAGAAACAAAGGACTTTTTATAGCTATTGTCAGCTCACTAAAGTGATTAGTACAATTTCTTGCTGTCTTTAGGGGAATCCAGTTCCTCAAGACAATGCTTTGCTGCCAGCAAAGACTCTTAACATCTTTCTTTAGGGACTGCATTATTTTTAACAGTCAGTTTTGTTTCTCTTGATCTGGTTAAATTGGTGCTTCAGTCAAAGGAGAGCATGAGCTACCTGTAGTAGGATACAGAGATCAAGTATTGCTCTGTTACAATTGTGCAAAAAACTTGAAAATGCAGAGGAAGCTTTAGAAATTGCCACTGCATGCAGTGCACTCACCTGGATCTCTACTGATGGTGAGGAATGACTCCTTCACGCTATTGACGCACGCGAGCCCTTCATCGGTTTTGTTTGCTCTCGGAACATCCTGTGTCTCCTGTGTTAGCATCCTTCCAAGGAAACGGCTGCCCTCTCTGTTCCAGCTTCTGTGATCTGTTAGTTTTGTGGCTAGTACAAAACATCCAGCCACCTTTATAACCTACAAAGCACATCCGTACTCGGCGTCCAAGCCTTCACAGCACTTGGCTACAATACATCAATGAGTATTAGACTACAATGCATCAATGAATATGGACTGCAGGGCTGAGTTTAAGCCATTTTGGGGATTTACCCTGAATATATGACAAAAGCCACTCGGAAGCCTTAATACCATTCTATGGCATAATAAATTGGCTTTTTGCTCTCTAGTTTTTGGAAGTGCTTTTGTTTCCTGCCATTCTCCCTCAAAAAGGGAGCAGCTCAAACTCTCAGGTGAGGATTGTTACGACACCAGTGCTCTTCAAATAGCAGCAGAGGGTTTCTTACACAGTCTGTATCATGTCATGACTCTTTTATGCTACCTTTGAGTGTCTATCTTTTTGCATCTGAACGAGAACCCGTGCTGGATCTCAAGCTGCAAAGAACACACAGGCTTGTGTTATAAAGCAACAGAAGTGAACAAAGACTTGTCCTCTGCCTGGAAATCTTATAAAACTTCATTCACTAGTTTCTTCGTCCTGTTTGGTTTTACTGAAGTCCTCACTGTAGTGGCTGCTCACTTGTACATAGTAATCTTTCAGCTGATTAAGTAGAAAACTATGCAGATGTTATTGGCTCAAGTAAGATGACTCTTCACCTTCATAACAACCCACTAGCTTAAGAGAATGTAGTTTGAATCCTGTTAAAAACAATATCACATGTTTTAGTAAAACCAAAAGGCTAGTTTTACTTTGCTGGCCAGTTCAAGTTGGCCCTGCCAGCTCTCTGAAGATCCCTTCCTTGGAGATGATGTCGAGGTCGGATCTCCTTCTACAGCGGCCTGTTCAGGATAGTAGAAGAATTTCTGAACCAGAGCTGCCCGCTCTGCCATCCTGATGCTGCGCCTGGAGCTGTCTCCTTTCTCCAGCTGTATGTGAAGTGCTTACCCAGCAGCTGCTACAACACTACCTGTCTGCTCAGATTTTTAACTGTATTTCTGCTCTTGACAGTATTGAAACTGAAGAACCTCATATCTCCTCTTGTGCACCCACCCCAACAAGCTATTTTTTTTCCTGACTTAAAGTGCTCCTATCACTGCTAAAACTATTCCTCCTGTCCTCTCTGCTGGAAGGATAGATACCCCCGTGTTACCCCTGCTAGAGGGGCTGCTGGCTTCAGCCCTGGCATGCTGCCTTGGAGATGTGGATGACATCGTCAGTCGTTATCCAGCGTGATCTTGCACTCAGATCCATTGCACCTTCAAATTCCTTCCTAATCCCCACACGGAACACAAGGGAATCCCTGTAAATATTTTAGGAGTGGAGTGTGTTATTCTTCTGCTATATGGACTATGTGGAGACACCAAATCTGAAGCTTTTCATGTATTTCTCAAAATAATCAAATTTAGTCTTTTTGGCTTAACAGTCGGATTTGCAAGCAGACTCCCATAGGCCACCTTAGCACCCTACTGGTAAAAATAAATCTATTTTTATTGATTAATAGTACCACTCTTAGCTGTACCTCTCTCTTCCAGGTTTTAAGCCTTTTTTTTTGTCCTTGAGTAATCAGTGTCACTGATCAACTTTGCTGTCCTCTGAAGTGTCTGGGCCACGTTTGCTTCTTATTGCTTCAGCAGGGGCACAATAGCATTAAACTCCTGTTAGAACTCAACATGTTAGCTTTAGCGAGTGCTGTTTTTCTCACTCATGTTAACGGATGTTGATTAAAACCCAGTGATAACTACTGTTAATGTTACAATATTTCCTGCTGCCCGAGTCCATGCTGAGGGTGGATGTTCCCTCCCCACCCCCGTGATTTCTCCCAGTTCATGCCAGGCCTGTCCCCATGCTACCCTACAAGTGAGTGGGGCTCTACTGCCCTTGTGATTCTCCTTCAGGAGGAACCAAGTCCAAGCACAAAGAAGCTGCCCAATACAAGCAAACTCGTGGGAACTTGCACCTTCCAAGTGGAAACAAGTACACAAATACACAGAATTACAGTTTGAACTTGCTGCGTCTTCATCACTAGAGTGAAACACCCAGGACCACCTTTAGGATTGATTGAAGTGAGCTTATCTAGGCAAGAATGTAGGGTAACCAGAAGCAGTTTTTCAGAAAATAAATTTTATTAAAGAAATTATAGCTGACAAGTGTCTTCTAGTAAGGCTAGGAAAAGCAGTGAATCTGACTTCTTTTAATACTCTTGAGTAATAACAGTTCAGTGTCAGCATCTGGAGATTACAGTAAGAGCTGGGCAAACAGCTTGCAAAGTAGTCTGGATCAGTGCTATTGTTTTTATTGCTTATGATTGCTCTAAACTGAAATGCAAAGATGGACTACTATGGTTAGTGCGTTTGACTTTATAACCAGGACATGAAGCTTGATTTAATTGTGGTTATGTGCATCCCTGAGGTCTGAGAAAACTGGCTATGTAAAACAGCTCCCTATTAGCCTTACACTTTCTTTAACTTTAAGAAGACAGGTTGTACTTTCTCTGATCTCTGTGGCTTTCCCAGTTGACCAAAGAAGTCCTACAGAAAACTTTATTCTTCCCAGGATGGAAGAGTACTTGTTCTGGATTAATCTTTTGGTGGTTGAGAATTTAGGTGTCCATCTTTGTTCTTGCAACCTACTAACCATTATATTTCCCCGATGATACAGGAAGATGAAGACCCTAACAAAGGTGACCAAAGTCGATCAATTGATCCAGGTGAAGATAACGTCACAGAACAAACTAACCACATCATTATTCCAAGCTATGCATCATGGTTTGACTACAACTGGTAAGAAACTAATTTGGAATTGGAGGAAAGTTTAGTCTTGGAGGTTGATTGATTTTTGTAATAACTCGAGCTGAGAGCTGAAAGCAAGCACCATTTGGGTCTAGCTCTCCTGTTACGAGTGCATCTTTTCCATTTAAAAATCTTCCTTAGTGGACCTGGGGCATTTTCCACAGGTGAGGAGTGAGGGAGAGAATTTCAGGAGGGGGTGTAGCATAGATATTCCAATTACTTTCTCCACAATTTATATTTTACACTGGTTTTCACAGAATGAAAACTAATTTCACTTTACTACTTCCCTAGTCTTTGCAGGCTCTTCTTGTGTTGCTGTCTGCTTCTGAAATCTGATGGCTTTTTAAATGTGCTTCAGATTTTTGCTGGGAGGATAAGCTGTTGATTATACCGGGTGCTTGTTTCTTTTGTTTTGGGATCCTCTCTGGAATGATAAGCTATGATCTGTGAGCAGTTTCAGGGCTATGATCGTACCGGGATCGCAGACTCTTGACTTCAGGGTGGCCTTTGACACACTCCTCCATAACATCCTCTTGGGAAAGTGCGGGGAAGTGTGAGCTGGGCGAGTGGGCAGTGAAGTTGACTGAAAGTGTCTGAATGATAAAGCCTGTAGCTAGCAGTGTCCCTGGGGGCAATACTGGCTCCAGTCCATTCACCAGTCCTGGTGGGGTGGGTGGTGGGGCAGAGCTCGACTTCAGCAAATTTGCAGGTGATGCAAAACTCAGAGGAGAGGTTGATAGACCGGGTGGTTGGGCTACAGTTCACAGGGACGTAGGCAGGTTGGAGAAACAGGCGGAGAAGGAACCTCATGAAGCTCAACAAAGGCAAGTGCTGGGCTCCCCAGGGCAAGAGGGACACGGAGCTACAGGAGCGAGTCTGGCAAAGGGCCTCGAAGATGATGAAGGGACTGGAGCATCTCTCTGAGGAAGCCCGAGGGGCAAGAGAAGACTTAGGGAGGAGGAAGGCTTTCTTGACAGCCATGTGAGAATATTAGGATACCTAAAAAGTAATTCTTGCTTTAAATACTCCATCAAGGTGTGCATTTTAAGGGTTTGTAAAGTACTCGAAGATTATGTTGAGCTTCGGGCCCCTGACTTGTGCGTTATGTTTGCAGTATTCATGTGATTGAACGTCGTGCTCTCCCTGAATTCTTCAATGGGAAAAACAAGTCCAAGACCCCAGAAATGTAAGTCAAACATGCAAAATGGATTCAGTAAGATAAAGGAGCGCTCAGGAATCCTGTGGTCACATCATTTGTGCCTGTGTTAATTGGATACTGTCTCCTGGTGCATGAAAGAAGCACAGAACGCTTGTAAAGCCACTTGTAATATAGGTAAAACTTGGAGATATCTAATTAATAGCTAGCAGTAGATATCCAGGAAAAACAAAAGCGTTTCCTTCAGCTAATACTGAAAAAGCTCTTTCTATTTTTTCTGTAGCGTGGTACATGACATCTTTTGTAGAAGTCTGCATTTTCTTCATATTATAGAAACTTATGATCCTCCTTGTTTTTCTTACTCCCTTGTGATTACACACTGAATTTTAGAGACTCGAGTTAGAACAGCAGGTTTGTTACAGGAGGCTGTCAAATGGATTTTCCTCGGTTATATGTGGCCTAAGTGTTTATTAGTTCCCTGGGCAGCTGATGTGTGATTCTGAAAGAGCAGGTGACGGCCAAGGAAAGAGTCTTATTTAGCACAGGTTTGAGATAGAAAAATTTTGTCTTTCAGAGAGCTGGAGTTGTGCATTGCAGGAAGAAAAAGTGTGTGTGTGTGTGTATATATATACACATATATACATACATATATATATATGTGTGTGTGTGTGTATATGTATACACACATATATATATCAGTAGTAAACCATCTAGTGAGTTTTAATTCTGAATTTATTTATATATTTTGGTTGGAATTTTCTCAGTTAAATTTAGATCCAAGTTTGTACCTATCTCATCCCCTTATTAGATCTGGTATCTACTGCACAGCTTCAGCAGTTCTTAATTGAAAATTATACAGACACATTTACTTAAACTGTTTCAGGAACACTGTTAAAATGCTGAATACAGTATTGAAATATTACAGGCTTTTCCATATGTAGAATGTTTAATTTTTGATCTAATAGATGTAAGGATGTGGTACAGTGATTTTCATCAGAATGCGTATGCTGAGCGCCTGCAGCTTGCCCTGCAAGCCTCGAATGGCGTTAGTGGAAGTTTATCTCCCCTCCTTCTCTGAATATATAACAGTAAACTGTTATTCAGAACAAAACTAAAACATGGATTAAAGAGATTTCTCAAAGGCCTGATGTTGACCCTGTGGTTGCTTTTTATCTTGGGGACAAGTGAAGGAACACGGGTCGCACTTTGGTTACACAGCTGGATTAAGTACTGGGTGTTTGCTGCTGCCGTGGTCGGTCTCAAGTTGTGGAGCCCCATGCTTCCTTCTGCACCTGAAATCAAAACCTTGTCACCTAGTCAGTGATCTGCTAGCCATGGCTTGTCTCCAGAGGAGGCAGATTGGAGGTGCTTCTCCAATAAATTCTAAATAAATTCTAGATTATCCTGCAGATGCATTTCTGCTGCTGTTCAGGTACTGTAGGCATAGTGGGTAGTCTTGGTTTTGGGTTCTTTTCTTAATGAAGTAAAAGCTTCCGTGTGAATATGCCTGCAGCTTCAGTGTTCAGGCTAGACAAAATGCCTTTCTTAAAGCTCACAGAGGTTCATTCTTGTGACAGGAAGGCCTAGGGGGTTCAAGAATGTCTCAGGAGGGTTCCTATCTAAATACTAGTTGACTGTCGTTGTTGCTGTTAACAAGTTTAGCTGATGAGTCATGTCATTGTTCAGAACAGATTCCCTTCAGGATAAACTTTAGATATATTTGTGTCTTATAGGCTTAACTCTCTTCACTTAGTGATGTTGCCTTAATTAACAAGTATTATACTCCCCGTTCCTGCAGCTAGGACCACATTAAGAGCTCCATCCTCACGAAGGTGGCAACATAGTTCTCTCCGAGGATGCTCCCTCTTGGGCTTCTCCATGTTGAATGTTACACGAGAAACAACACCTAGTCCCATAAACAACTTCTAGGAACCTACAAATGTAATTTGGTCAGAACTGTGAATGGGATTTTGACCCGAACATGTCTTTGCAGTGTCTCTCTGCTTATATCTTGCCTAAAATATACACTTCCGAATTTTAAACATCAATGTATGACAGTAACTCTGATTCAATTGTCTTACAGATACCTGGCCTACCGCAACTTCATGATTGACACCTATCGGTTAAACCCTCAGGAGTACTTGACTAGCACTGCTTGCCGAAGGAACCTGACTGGAGATGTGTGTGCTGTCATGAGGTAAGGAAAAAGCCTGGTCTCCTGGTCAGCACCTTTGCTTCGACAGAAAGAGCAGCCTCGTCGTAACTGAAAATACTCCACTATGCTAAGAAATGTTTTAGCAGCATTCCTCGTGCTTCTGACTAACACACCGCTTTCCCCTCTTACAGTAACCAGAAGATTTTATGCCATCCTTCATTTATAATATTGTGCTTACTGAACCATGCTGGCAGGTTCTTAACTTACTCAGTGATGCTTGGATTCTGCAGTTTACTTGATAATGTGGAGCATACTTCAGAATTTCCTATTTTGCTGCTCAGTTTTGTCTGCTCTACCTGTTCTGATAGTCCTAAATTGTGAGGCACAGCAGAGCCCTGGGATTTTGGAACTTGCTAAGCGCAGATCAGTGAGGAACAGGTATTAGATGGGGGAGGCAGAACAGCGCTTGTGACAGCCCTCATAATTCATGTATTGTCTGCAAATGGTTTCAAGTCTGCTGCCCTAGCTTTGCTTTGCCTGAATTAAGTAATAGTTCTGTTATCTGTAGCTGAAAATGTCACATTTTATCTAATATGAAGTGATTAAGTGTGCATAAAGCTCATGCAATGTGACTCGTATTGCTGTTTGCAATTAGTGAAGTATTATAAGGGATTCCAAACTTATATTTGATCCAGAAATTGTTCTTAAAACTTCCCTTGCTTCCTTTCTGCAAGGCCAAGCTTAAGCCAGGCTCTGGCTGATAAGGTTCTAACTGGTCGTGTTGTTCCGCAGAGTCCACGCGTTTCTGGAGCAGTGGGGTCTCATCAACTACCAGGTGGACCCAGAAAGCCGTCCCATGGCCATGGGCCCCCCGCCTACTCCTCACTTCAACGTGCTTGCTGATACCCCCTCCGGGCTCATGCCCCTGCACATCCGCACTCCGCAGGTGAGCCCCGCCGCGATGTTTGCCTCCGTTCTGGAGTGTTTGTGGCTCCAGCCAGCGTCATGTAGCAGCTCCCTAGAGTAATTTAGACATGTTTTGCTGAAAAATTCCCTTCTTTCTTGGCCATCCAAGTTGATAGTTTCAGGTAATCAGATTTTTACTCCTTCTCACAGTGGAGATTGATGATACACTTAGCACTCTGCGAGCTTGGCTGTCATTGGGTGCTAGTGATGTTAAGTAGAGATATCTCTATAGAGTCACGTTCGGCTTTATATGTGCTCTGTGTTCTATTCAACATTTGTCAGCAAACTCGGAATAACTTTCAAATCCTGACCTTTTTCCTGTAATTTTTTTTTCCCACAGGTTCCAGCTGCTCAGCAGATGTTGAGTTTTCCTGAGAAAAACAAAGAAAAGCCTACTGATCTGCAGAACTTTGGGCTTCGCACAGATATTTATTCAAAAAAGACCTTGGCAAAGGCAAGGATGTTTGGATTTCACCCTCCACCCTCCCATCCTGGGCTGTTACTGAGGTTTCCCTGAAAACTCTCCCCCGCTAGAGAAGTGACATATTTGTGTTCCTCCTCTGTCCCTGCTCTAGGACCTTTCCATCTCGCTGTAGGACACTAAGATACTACACTTGCAGTTGTGCTGGTTACCTGATTTTACAGCCATAAAGACACACACTCGTTCCACACTAGTCGATCCTGTCACTCTTCAGACACTTGTTATGGTATCACCTGTTGCACTTGGATGCTTCAGAATCAACAAACCAGCAGATGACTCAGTGCAGAAACTGAGGTCTTTAAGCAAGATCTTTAACTATTCTGTTACGGCCACTCGCAGCAGCCTGTCTGAGATGGGATCAGCTTCTGGATCGCTCACTTTTATTGATGAGCTCTATGAGTTAATGATCTGTTTGAAATGCACCTTGGGATAGGATATAGTATTTATTCCAGATAACCCTTTTCCTTTTGGAGTGACTTTAAAATGGAGGCATCTGGTCTGGGTGACGATACCTCTGTTGTCCGTTTGCCATGTAATAAATCAGGGTGTTCGTAATCTCTGGGGTGAAATTTTCTGCAAGAGTTTTGCAACTTCTAGGAAATTGAGGAATCTTCCCCAAGCTATAGATTTGGGAGAGGTAAGCTTCGGGGCAAGTATTTGATAAATATGCAGATTACCTTGCTGTAACTACTTTGGGCTTTATCTCATCCGTTAAGGCTCTCATTTTCCTGAGGTATTTTGTTGAAGTTGCTGACTTAGGTCACATCTGTCTTTTGGGGAGACCCTTATGTACTTCATACAGCCAATCTGCCTTGGAAGCAAGACCAGAGGTTTGGTGGGTGTGAAGCCTTGTTGGCATAAGGCCTATTCCTGAGAAAGGTGCCCTTAAACTGATGGTGTCTGAGGGTGCCTCGCCTGAGTGACAGCACCTCCCCGGCCAGCAAGAATCGTAGCTGGATATTCCTTGTCCGCTAACCACCGGTGTCCTGCAGCGCGAACGCAGCCTGCTCTGTGCAGACTGCCCTGCTCTTGGCTGCATTTCACAGTCAAGCTGACCAGAAGCCCATCAGCACTCCTCAGCTTTTATTTTTATTATTATTATTTAGGAAAGCTTCTGCTGGCTGTACATGTAAGTGAAGATAGCTGGTACCAAGGAGAAGAGGGTACTAAAACTTTGGTTTGGAATAAAGAGAAGTCATGGGGTCCCCTAGACCTGTTGGGAGGATGGACTCTGTAACTACTCCTAGAAAACTGTAGGGATACACTGCCATATGTGCTCTAGCTAGGTAGGAAATCATGGAACCACTGCAGGGCATGACCAGGTATGGGTTAACTGGAGTACGAGCATTGTGAAGAGTAGCCAGCTGTCTGCGTGCACTAAATCACAACAGGTTCTTCCCTTCTCCTTTTTAATGCATTTTTAAGTACTGTACAAAGAAAACTGAATTTCACAAATTTTCCTGTATTATTTTTGTAGAGTAAAGGTGCAAGTGCTGGAAGAGAATGGACAGAGCAAGAGACACTGCTGCTATTAGAGGTAAGTTCATGAGAAAAAAAAATAAAAGCTGGGAAACTGCAACATACAGGATATTACACATATTAAAAATCTTTACATAGGTTAGTCGTTTTGTTTGAAGCAGAATTGAATGGCATTCCCATGCTTTTATGGAAATGGGATAAGAGAAGCAAAGTTTGTAGTGGGAGGTCGCCTCTGGAGACCAGCTCATTTAGGTGGAGTAGAGAAGTGTCTGAATATCTAGGTGTGTATGATGCTTGTTTGTCTCTCTTGGTTATGTTTTTTTGAAATTGGTAGAATTTTTATAGGTGTCCTCCAAACTTCATCCTGTCATTCTCGGATAGTCATGGCCAGAAGAGGGCAACTGCCAGGAGTAGATGGCAGTAACACTGGGTACTGACGGGACTGCATGCAAAGTCCCTCAGAGGTTCAGCTCTATCTAATTTGTATCTGCAACCCAGGACTAAAACGTGCCGCATAAACTTGGGAATGGATCTTTCCGGGCAGAGGGGCCTTTCATTACACAGGAGATGCTAATCCCAGAAGGGCCGGGGCTGGCAGGGCCCTCCAGGGACCCCCCAGTGCAGCCCCGGCTCCAGCAGGGACACCCAGAGCATGGGGCACCCGGGCGCATCCAGGCGGGTTGGAGATCTCCAGAGCAGGAGCCTCCACAGCCTCTCTGGGCAGCCTGTGCCAGGGCTCGGGCACCCTCACACCAAGGAAGTTCTTCCTCGTGTTCAGGCAGAGCTTCCCATTCTTCAGATCTGGTGTCCTCGCGGAGAGCATAAAGAAGGTGGAACTCTTGTGTGCGACTGTTCTGGCTTCTTCAACTTTACCTGCATCAGTAAAATTGTTCAGTAGTTAATGAAGTTCAAGAGGAGAAGCACTGACAACAGATTGTGAAATTGCTTGACAAAATTCAATTCCCAGTGCCACATATGGCTGCGCTTTTGTAAACCATACCTGAGCAGCAGCAGACTGTTTCAGGCTCCTTGGCTCTGGAAGCACGTTCATTAGATAACCCAATTTTTTTTATCGTGTTAGATTGGTGCGTGCTGCTTAGCCCACATTTTAATATCGGATTATGAAAAAATATGCTTATAGAGTGAGAACAGTTGAGATGTGGTCTGTGATGTTCTTGCACGGTGCAAACATAAGACAGTATCTCAATACACTGATTTCTTTGCTTGCTGGTATTGATATTTAAAATTAATTCTTTTGTATATATGTAACCTAGTCATTTATATGGCAAAAAATAGCCTAATGAAATAATTAGGTAAAGAAATAATTATTTTGCATACTTTTTCATTAAAAAAAACAAAAATTTGAGTCTTAAACTCGCAAATTTATTTAACAGGAGTTTAAACTAACAGCTCTTATTTGTTCTTCATTCTTGGATTTAACCTATAAATAAATCAGTAAAGAGAGTATATCAGTTCAAGCATAAGTAATTCAACTATAACGAGCCAGCTCTATCCAATTAAATCCTCAGGGTAGCTTTGGGCAAATATATGCAGTGAAGTTCCAAAGAATAAATCTTTTCTGAAATAATTACTGTCCTTCTGCCTGTTGACTGAATGACTGGGGGGAAAGTGTAAAAAAAAATTTAAAAATAAATAAATAATCCTTTTTCCCTCCCAGAATCATCTTTGTTGCCCCCGCTTCTCTGTGTCTGCATGGAGTACTATTCTTGCAGAGCGAAGAGTATTTTTCGGCTATTTATAGTAAGGACAACTACTGTGAGCCTTAGTGCAACAGAAAAATAGCCAGTAGTGAAGGAGAATGTGTAAAACCCACTGCACTGCCATTAAAAAAAACAGAAAGGAAAATCAAGGCAGCTGATCTAATGTGCTAGTGTAATTAAAAATAGATGGGTGGTGGCACAGAACTAATAGCAGGGAGCTGAAATTGCCTCCTGGATCTCCAGCACTCCTGTCTTTAACTTGCCGAACGTTTCATTAGTTTGATTCACATTTTGAAAATGCTTCTCAGCTTGCATCTTTCCCCGGTCACCTTTCGAGAGGCAGGTCTTGCAACGGTACCACGTTTGGGTGGATGAGTTTGCTTTGGAAGAGCTCATAGTATTTCCGCTGCAAAAACACTAAAACACTTCTCATGTTGGCTGGTGAAGTCAGCTTTTAGTGCTGATGGGAAAGACTGGTTTAATATGGTCCTGCAGGCACGTGTCTTCTGAATGCAGAAGCGTTGTGTCTATTGAAATGTGTTGTGTGGAAATGTCCGTACCCGGGTTGGGGAGCTCCTGTCACAGGAGCCCCGCTTGGTTTTGCTGTTCTGCTTGTCATAATTAACATGGAAGCACCCAGCATTTCAACTTCTTGTGCTTGTAGGGACTGTTCAGACACGTCAGATAGACCCTCGTCCTGATACCTGACACAGGACAGCTGAGTAGCTCCGGTTCTGCCTTTTATTGGATGAAAGGCTGTGCATGCCGAAATTAAAGTCAGTCTTGCGTGTCACCCTGAATACTGAGATTGCTGGTAGTTCTCAGACTATGGAAATGTGTTTCAAGTGTTGGACAGCCATGAGCTTCATCTGTCCTTAACATTCATGCGTAGATGTGCGTTGGGAAGCTCAGCTGTCACAAGTAGTTACAGTGGGAGGGAGCAGGATGGCGTCTCTGCCTTCTGGAAGGTGCCAGAGCTGCCAGCAGCGCCCTGCAAAGCGCGGCAGCGTCCTCGGCCAGAGGACACGTTATCTGGGCTTTGCACAGGGCTGCTTCGTTACCTTTTCAGAAACTCCTGTCAGAACTTCCCTAACTCATAATCTTTAAATCGCTTGAGTTTTACTGAAGTTAAGGTACTTGAGTACCATTCTTCCATTTAGAGATGGATAAAACTCAGAATCAAATCCTTGATTTTAATGTAAGTCCTCACTTTACCAGGCAGCTTGTCTGCATGATGATGACTTGTTGACCAGAATGTTTGCTGTAAATCAGGGTGGTTAATATTCCTTAGAAAACCATTTGCTTTTAGCTTCATAGCAGAGAATGTTACTGGTTTTTTTTTTCTTTCTTTCTGTCTCTTGGTGCATCATTTTGATGCTGTTTCAGTTTGCAGAACATTTGTTGCATCTGAAAACTGGACTTCTGTGCGAAGTAGTACAGACATGTGAAATAACATGCTAGGCTCTTTAGGGCAAGATGAGTATTTAGCACATACAAGAGGGAACATAGACAACGCTCAGGAGGAGGCAGAGAGTAGTTTTGGGAATTAAAAGTAGTAGGGAGGCTTGGTAAGATAGCAAATTTAGTTCCCTTTAACCTTTTTTGTGTGTGAAAACAAGGTGGGGAGACGATAACTGTGCAAATGCTGTTAGCAGATTCAAAATCCTCTGACAATTTTTTGATACAGTAACAACATGAAATTTGTCTGATGATGCCTTCAGCTTAAATTTAACTGTCATCCCAGCAGGGTAGGTCATATTTCTTCTGCAGAATTTTGCTAGCAGGAAAATCAGGATTTAAATAGTTGTCTGATCCTAATTTATTGTTCCCTCCCCAAAATGATTAGTACTGAAAAAGTCTTTCACGTAAAGAAGTTCATAAAGAAGTATACAATAACCTTCATCTTTTGCAGGCTCTGGAGATGTACAAAGATGACTGGAACAAAGTCTCGGAGCACGTGGGGAGCCGCACTCAGGACGAGTGTATTCTTCACTTCCTGAGGCTGCCGATCGAGGACCCCTACTTGGAGAACTCGGACGCGTCCCTGGGCCCGCTGGCCTACCAGCCCGTGCCGTTCAGCCAGTCTGGAAACCCCGTGATGAGCACCGTGGCCTTCCTGGCCTCCGTGGTGGATCCCCGCGTGGCGTCCGCCGCAGCAAAGGCTGCGCTAGGTATGGCCTTGTCTGCACAAGCGCGAGCTCTGTGTTCACCCACTCTTAAAACCGTCTGCTTTGTGGAGCTTCCCCTGGAAGGGGGATAAATGGGGAAAAACAAACAACACAAGTATGCAGAAAACAGGTCTACTAATGCCCAGTCTTGCATTCTGTTGTTACCGAAACTGCCAACTTGCAGACAAGTTAGAGTCTCTCTTAAAAGCCCCTGGATATCTATGGACTGCTCCCATTCTCCTTTTGTGCTCACTGACCAAATATTGTTTGTTAACAGCACTTAAGGCGCTGGTGTTTCCATGACTGCTGTCGCTTTCTGAGCTATGTAAATGCTCAGTGCTAAACCTCCTGTTGTGCAGTTGTGCCTGTGCTGCCTAATCAGTCACAGCTAGGAATGACCTCCAAGAAACTGGCCAGAATAGTTCCAGTCACCTCTCTCTTTGTTGATTATTTCTGTTTTTTTTTTTTTCCACGTTTTCCAAGTAAAAGACAAATTATGTAATTGGGAAGAGATTCTCTCCCACCACATTTGAGAGAGGAAAATTCACTAGTTAAGGTGGAAAGTGGGAACTGAAAATGGATGTGAGAATTAATGTTGTCATGAGTTTTATTGCCCATTGAGAAATTCAAAACTGCTTTTAAATTGCCATGAAATACTCCATAACATTTTCTGTGCGTTTTTTAACAGAGGAGTTTTCTCGAGTCAGAGAGGAGGTACCCCTGGAGCTAGTCGAAGCTCACGTAAAGAAAGTACAGGAGGCAGCAAGAGCCTCTGGGAAGGTGGATCCAACATATGGCCTGGAGAGCAGCTGCATTGCCGGAACAGGTCCAGATGAGCCGGAGAAGATCGGTAGGCTGGCTATCAAAATGCTGAAATATCTTGAATTGTGTTTCTCAGCCGTTTCCTTCTGACTCACAATAACCTTCAATTCACCTCCAACAGAAAACGGGGATTATGGTGAGGAGAGAGTGGCACAGGTCACCCTGCCTCTGCTTGCTGCAGGGTTATTACCTCTTGGCACTGCTGTAATGAATTTAAGATCAGCTTCACTTTTGACAATTTTTCTTCTTCTTCTGGCTCAGTGGAAGTGCCCTCGCTTGGGATACATACAAGTTGAGTGAGCAAGAATACCAAAGGGAAAATTTTTATACCAATTCTGTGGGTATTAGAGGGGTTAGAACAGATGATGCTGCCTTTCTGGCATTATGGTTATGATAGAGCTCACTGGTTTTATTGGCTTTTTATGTTTCCGTTAAGCCTGTAACATTCCTCGTTGCTCTGGGGAACTTGTGGCTCCGAGTACCCTGTCCACAGTGCTGGAGACAGGAGAACAACATTTTGTTTAATGGTAGCCTTGCATGCAGCGTGACAGTGTCTCGGCTCTGCTCCTGTACGTTTACACCACCAGACTTACAAGCTCTCATTTGGTTTTCAATCAAATTACTCAGTAGATACTCTGGTATGAAGTTCATTATCCTGAACTTTGACACATACAAATTGTTTATTCATCACTATAGTGAGTAAAAGCATAACATTTTGCAACTCTCTGTAAAGTGAAAGCACCTTGTGAAACCCCTTTCTATTTTAATTTGTCTCTCCTAACACAGTATGATGAGTACAGATGAGTACAGTTCTACATACGACTTACCTTTCTCAAAGACTTGATAATTTGATTTTAAAATAGTGCTTAGCTACTGAAGGCATCTTTATAAAGCAGTAACAGGCCACTCAACCCTTCTGCCAGCCTTTTCCAGCCCCACACCGAATGGGGCAGAGTGGATAGGAGGCAAATCTGCACTTGGAGATGGCAAATGTCCCGCAAAGGGGACTCCAGCGGCCCTGACATCTGGAATAGCCGCTTCTCTCTTGTGCAGAGCTCATGAAGACAGCCAGGCCCCTCTAAAACTATCGGAAATAAAACTGAAGCCCTTGTCCTTTCAGGTGTGCCAGGAAACAAATCTGGATGTTGTGCCGTCTGGAGCTGGGTTAAATTTGATGGTTAATTTAAAAACAAGCTCATCATACGTCCTTTATTGTTTGTTTGTTTTTCCCCATGAGTTTATTTGCTTCCCCTTCCCATGTTCTCCAAGCACAGGCTGTCCTGCAGTCCGTGTGTGTTAAGGACCTTCGTAAAACGTCTGCCTTTTGAGTCTAATTCCTAATCCTGCGGGACGAGCGTGGAAATGTTACCATCAGCACCACACTGATGGCACTGCTCGGCCCTCAGGTAGCCTTTTCTCGAGGACAATTTGCCCACAAGTTGCAAATGGAGATTTTTGAAGTGCTTGTTGCTTAATATGGCGAGTTGGAGCGCAGATGACCGTAACGTGATTATTTCTGAATGAGCTGTGTGGAGAGTCCTATAACTAATACCGCCCTGTTGCGGTTAATGCGATTTGTATCGGGCTGTGACTAATGGAATAAATTAGGACAACAGCAGATGGTTCTCCCTGGGGGAGCTGCTCAGCAAGAGTGAACTGGGTCACTCCGCAATCTGCAGCGCCCTCCACCTCCGAAGCAGCCTGCGCTGGGGGCCGGGGGAAGGCCCGAGCCCTGCTCGTGCAGAGGTGTTTGCTGTGCTCAACCAGGCCTGAGGTGCTGCGGCGAAATGTCACCCTGGAGAGCCAGAAACATCCGCCGAGGGAGCCGCGCGGTGATTAAAGTTCATCAGTTGGTGTACGTTAGAGATAAAATTATATTATAGCTCCATAGTCTTTGCAAAACTCTTCATATTGGTGGATTACGGGAAATGTGCAAGGGGAAAATGACTTGAACAGATTGCAGGAACTTGTATTCGTACCAGGAGTCTTTTCTTGGAGGGTTTTCTTAGCTTTTTGTAGAGGCTGATGATGGTGCTGTTAAACTGGTGTAGTAAAGCCATGAGAGCATTAAGAACAGGTTGAAGTGGTTTGGGCTCTATGGTGAGCATGGCAGACACTGGCAGTCAAGGTCACCTAGAGCTCCTTTTTGCAGGCTGGGAGGATTATATCACTCAATAATTGATCATCATTGCTGTAAAAAGCAAAGCTCACCTTTCTGCATCGACCTTGTGTAGTGTAAGAGAGAGCTCCGCTGCTTGTGCCTGCGAAATGTGCCCTGGAACGGGCAGGGTCGTGCCCAGGCTCAGGGAAGGATGGACTCGGCGTCTGCTGGAGGTGAGCAGCACCCGGATACCTCCGTCTGTGTAGGTGCAGCCACCCCCGTGCCCTCTGGATACGAATTGTCCAGAAAAATTTTCCTCGAACCAGCCTTCACTCTGGTGCTTTCTTCTAAGCTCCCGCTAATCACTTTATCCTTGTGTCCCGCGGACTGGCCAACATCCAGGGCAGGAGGTGGTGTGTGCATCTCCTCGTGGCCGGCGTCGCTTCTGTACCCAACCGCCTTCTCCAAGGAGCTTCCTACCTCCGTAATCCTCCGTATAACATCGGGCTTGTATGAAGCTGTCGTGTTTCTTCAAAATCCATTTTGTCTATGGGACTTTGGTAGCTTGAGACTGTGAACTGTGCGAGGTTGCTCCTCAGGACAAAAGTTGCCCAGTCTTTGACTGCACTGCATAGGGGGCTTGGGTGCTGTCCAGCCAGGGAAGGCCGCTGCCCACGTACTCCAGGGGATCATAGAACCGTTATGGTTGGAAAAGACCTTCAGGATCATTGAGTGCCACTGCATGCATTTTAAACAGAGCTGAGGAAAGGATATTTGGTCTTAATGAACACAGGCTTTTCTTGCGTTATTCCTGACACCTCTCCACAGGTCTCCAGGACGTTAAACACTGGGCAGGTCTTTGGGCAGCTGTTTTCTTTACAGTGGCTCTTGCTGCGCTTTATTCTCTGTGATCTTTTTGCCTATTCTTACAGGTGGCCATATTAAGGGATGTGAATAGGTTGTCCTGTGTGAGCTTGTGCTTAATTTTCACTGTTTGAGATGAAAAATATATATATGTTTGACTATGGAGATGATAATGTTCATGATCAGCTCTGACCTTTGAGGTCCTGGATGTCTCCTGTCCCAGAAACTTCAGCTTTGTCATCAAAGCTGCTGTGTATGTGGGGAGAGCCTTGTCTAGTCTGGCTTTCCTTTTCAAGACATCATCTTTGTTCTAGCCAAGGCTCTTGAGTGCCTTGAAAATAAGTGAGATTTGGGAATCCCTTTGGCATACTTTAATGTTGCGGTATCGTCTAATTTCAGTGTTAATTGCAGCAGCAAGATGCAGCACAGGGGTAACGGGTTGGTGGCCTGTAGCCATAAGGAGAAGCGAGGTGAGATCGAATGTACCGGCACGTGACAAGGACAGAGCTGCCTTTCCTCACTGGATGGCTGAATATTTGCACTGGCAGAACACTTGAAATCAGTTCTCTGATCAGCCCGAATGGTTTAAACCCCGTTTCTTCCTTTCCTGTAGGTTTTAGACTATGAGAGGTGATGGCGCTGCATCCAGTTTCATAAGAAATAAGTCAGAGTGAGCAGGAAGGAGCCGAGCTCGGCAGGCCGCTGCGGAGCCGCGCGGCAGGGCAGCCCGGGACGCGCAGCGGTTCGTGCCAGCTCTTCACGGAGGGTTTGGGCTCTCGGGAGCGCTTCCCTTGGGCGCTCCTGTGATCCGAGCCGCGCTCGGATCGCCCGGGCCCTGCGGGGACGGGGCCGTGCAGCCCTTCCTCTAGCCAGGGTGCTGCTAAAAGCGTTTCCTCCTTCCAGCCCGTCTGCCATGGCGAGAGCTCGGGGGATTGGGCTCTGATTTACTGGCTCTGCTGCAACCCCGACTTAAACAGCTGATAAATGTTAACGCTTTATGGATAATTTTGTGTCATGTTCTCAAATACACATGGTAGAGAGGTGCACGCAGAAGTATATGAGCATATGGGCAGTACGTGTGCAGTTTTTGGCACACTGATTTCCCTCCTGCTCTCCGGGCCGTCATTTCCCTCTGAAATGCTGCACACACAGCTCCAACGAGGCGCCTCCAGGTTCTGCATTCGCCTCACGTGCATCGAGGTGCCGTGAGCCGGCTCAGCACTGTCGAGCCCATCGATCCTCTTGCAAGAGCAGCCCGAGCGCTGTCCCCGTGCCCGGCGCGTTGGGCGCGCGGGAGCCGCGTGCAGCACGAGCCGAGGAGGCTCCGGTGCCCGTGGACTCCTGCCTTGCTGCAGGGAATCAAAATTACAGTTTAGGTAATAGCGTAATTACCGTATTCAGACCCAGGGATTTTTCCACAGCTACGGTATTTTCCTCCCAATTAAATATTAATGTGGAGGGCTGGTTTCTGATGAGCCGCCTAAGTGTGGTGCCTCTGTGCAAACAGAGCGGAGTGTCTTGAGGGCATCTTTAAACTATTTGCTGAGCTGAAGCTCGTGCTAGGAATTCTGTGCATTTTTATGTGGGGTTTTGCTTTTTGTTCTTCTCCTGACCAGGGAGTTTACTTATCTGCTTATGCTGCAAGTGTCACAGCTTGCTAGTGGTGCTGTAAATCATTCCAAGGAAATTATTATACAGCTTCCCTGGCTGTCCTGAAGCCAGTTGAACGTCAGTGGGGAGTCACTGCGTTTCCTTAGGAGTCGGCCGTAAATTCTTTGTGTTGGAAAACGGGGCTCCCCGATCTTGGAGGTGATGCTCAGAACAAAACATGTTTCTGCAGAGGCAAAAATAGCTTTTAAGACAGAGGTCTCACTTTTACCACTTAATATTATCTGAAGACTAGAAGTTTTCTACCCTGTTTTACTTTTGACTTGGGGTTTTGTATGAATCAGGACTTCAGAATTGCTCTCTCTCCCCGTAGTTGAGTTTTGGGCTCCTCATATGAAACGATGGCAGTTTTCTTTTAGTCATTCCCTTCTATCGTAGTACTAGAAATGTGAAATTTCAGCGTTTCACCCGAGCTGCCCCAGCGTGGGCAGGGGCAGCTCCTCTCCCTCTTGTGAAAGGAGAGAAGGGCCCTTTCCTTACAGATCTTTCTCGCTTCTAGGCTTGCTCTGGAGCTCTGCTTCAAAATCGCTGTCTGAAGAAAATCTAATCTAGACTTTTTCTTATGGCATTTCTAGGTCACCAAATCCTAACTCGTAGCTAAAACTTGGGAGGACGTCTCCCCAGCCTCCACGAATTGAATTATGGTGGCAAATACTTCAGATAAGTAGGTTTATCGTCTTAAAAGAAGCTAAGAGGGAAAATCTTTATCTTTCAATCATACATTTAAATACATTTTTCTAATGTATAGAAGGACCTCATAAAAGCTGCTCTGCAGAATTACTGCTATTAAAGGAGAACTCTCTGTGCATCTGCTTTGCTTCAGCGTAACGCATGGGAATTACCAGGAAAATGAGGATTACAGCAAATGAGCACTGTGCACCAACTAATGTCTTTAGAAGCTGTCTTAGAGGTGGATCAGGGCTTTTCGCCAGCAGGTTTGTGTTTGTGTGGCAGCATGTTTTGTATCCCATGGTCTAGGCAGGCTCCCTCTTTAATTCCCCTGTACGTTCCGCTGTGCTGGGGTTTCTGCTCTTGCAGCTCTGCGATACCTGATAGGATTTTAGTAAAGGGACTAGAGATTGTGCTGACACTTCCCCCTTGTCTCCGCTTATGGAGCGCGATGGACGGGTGTTTCTTGGCCTTCTGCAGAATCCCTGTGCACACGCCAGGAAGAAACAACACGTTATGAAGATGCCTCCCCGGTGTTCTCCATCCTTGTCATCCTCCTCTGTGAGGCCTCTCTGCCTCTGTCATTAGCTTATTTGAATGCTCTTTAAAGGAATAACTTAATGAATGAACCAACAGTTAGCAGCGAGACCTGTCCTAAGGATAAGAATATGTAGCTGGGAATGGAACTAATTGCTGTGGAAACACTTTGCATGCACCTGGCACGTGGTGCCGGTATTTCTGATATTGTGCTGCCAGAAGGGTGTTTTTTTTTCCCCATCTCATTTTAGTCCCACTGGTATCCCGTTTAGGCCCTTGTCTGCTCTGCCTTTGTCCATGCCAAAGTTAAATGGGATAATCAGCGGGCAGCGAGCCCTGAGGCAGCAAGCTGGGCCTTGGCCGGGGTCTGGCACTGGGTTTAGGCTCTGAGCCAGGCTTGGCAGAGGGGATCTCGCGTCCGTGTCCTCTCCTGGAGACGCCGGTCACTGCGTGAAGCTTCCCCTCCTTTACTGCTCTGGAACGCAATAGCCCCTGCACGTCCCGCGGAACGCGTCGGCAAAGCTGCGCGCCACGGGGAGAGGAAGCCTCCAGCCAACACTAACACCTTGGGTGCAGCTGCAGCTCCGCGTCTCCTAAAGCACCTTAGAAAACTTGGGAGAGCTGGGAATGAGCAGGCTGTCCTGTGGCGGCACTGCCAGGGGATGTGTTCGTTCAGCCTCCGTTCTGGATAACTATTTTGGATGCAAAGGAAACACTTCAGCTGGGAACTTATGTTGTTTGCGTGGTTTGTATGTAGCCAACATTATGCTCGACTGTGATTCATAGTCTGTTTAGCACCTAATTAGGAAGCTGCAGTTGGGCTCTGGAGGAGCTGCCATACAGCTTTTTTCTCAGTGGAAAAAGCTCCAAGTGTTTGGGTTTTACTTGGAAAATCCCATTGATCCGCTCTTCAGTACGGACTCACAAATACAGCCGAGGGAGGAGCGACGGAGCCAACGGTCCAAGTCTCGGTGAGATCTTGTCCGAGAACATCTTGTCCAGGGAAATCTTCAGGTTAATTTTTTTGCTCTTCGGTTAAGATTCACAGGGGCCTGTGGCTCCACATCACGCGGAATCCCCCATGGTGGCAGCTGCGACGCGTGGCGTGCCTGACACCAAGCGCCAACGTAGACCATGGTGGCAGCGAGGTGCCGCGGCCAGCGCGCTGTGACGGTCCCCTAAGCGGAACGCCCCGCCAATGTGTTTGCAGCCTCAGAACAGCTCAGGGTGCTCCGGGGGGAATGTCTGGAGGAACCGCACACGGAGTCTGGGCAGCCAGCGGGCTGGGAAGCTTGTGCAGAGCAACGTGTGCGAGGAGGCGAGGAGGTGCTGTGCAGGGCTCGGGCAACGCGGTGCCGCCAACCGTCCCGCCGTCCGTGACGTGGGAGCAGCAGCGGAGGGGCACAGGAGTGTCAGTAGATCTGCTAGAACCTCGTGTCACTTGGGATAACTGTTTTGATGCTACTCTGGAGAGCCTTAGCCCAGAACCCTGGCATTCGCATAACGCCCAGCGTGAGCTTCACTCCGTGCAAATCCAAACCTTGCAGCAAAGGGAGCCCCGGGATCCTGCGCCGAGGAGGAATTCCAAGTGTGGTGGCCTGTAACTGAGGTTAATCATGTAACTGACAGCCAGCTCCAGGAACAAATGGGCTGTATTGGGAAGAACATTTTATAACCCTGCAACTTGCCAGTGGGAATTACTGTATGACTTGAGTCCTGCAGAACTGGACACGGAGATGGTTTTTTATACCATTAAAAGGGACAGTTTTGGGAGGTTCTCCCTCTACAGGCAAGCTGGGTGTTTCTGTATAGATAATTGAACATGTTGTCTCGCTTACCAAGCTCAAAAGAAAAACCTGTTAGACTTCAACATGAATTTAATTTTGATTTTTGACTTAAGTAGTGTAATAGGCTTTTGATCTTCCAGGAGTTCAGTGGTATGCAGCTTTCTTTAAACGATTCTCAGTGCCGAACAAGAAATTTTGGTTAACTCTAAAATAAATCTTGAGTATAATAAAGGGATATTGTGGCAATTCTAACTACTTTATTAATTTGCATTTTCAGAAGGAGCTGAAGAAGAAAAAATGGAAACAGAGACAGATGGGCAACAGCCTGAGAAGGTAAGCTTGCTTTGGAACATGCTTCTGAAGAGACAGTTGTGTCGCCTGGAAAGCTGCATTGTTATATTTTAAAACATCTGATCAGAAAGGTGAGCAGTGCTGTGCTGATCAGCATATACATCCAGAGCGAGCAGTTGTTCCAGAGTTCCCATCTTCGTAGCAATTCATGTTCTTATGAGTGATTTAGTCCTACGTCATGTGGAGATGTTTTTTTTACTGGTCAGACTGAAAAGAGTCATCGTCATGTGCAGTTTTCCAGTCCCAAAGAAAAAAAGGTTGGAATTGGAAGAAAACAACAAACAAACAAACAAGACCTATCCAATACATTGTAGAGCCTTAAACTGCGTGTGTGGTTCATGGCTAGTAGTGCTCAAAGGCAGACATCGCTGGGGGGCTCTGCCAGGTTGTCTTGGGCCAAAATGCCTTTTCCCAAGTTGAATGCTGTTCCTGACAAGATTGTCAGGAGGAGATGAGGGTTTTGCAGGAAGTCTGCGTGTTGTTTGGGTCGCTCTCAATTCCTGGCAGGCATTTTGGGGTGTTGTGCCAGGAGCTTCGTGCTGCCTTTGGAACCTTTCTGAGCCCCCCAGATGGAGCATTGAGGTGACTCGTGCCCTCGGAGTGTCGTGCTGGGAGCTTCATGCTGCTTTTGGAACCTTTCTGAGCCCCCGGGATGGAGCATTGAGGTGACTCGTGCCCTGAGTCCCTGCGGTTGTGGCTTCCCAAGGAGGGAGGCTTGGCTCCTGGCTAGAGGTGTGCACAGTGCCCCTTGGTACGGTGCATCCTGCCGGTAACCGGCAGAGTTTTAGCAGTGGCATCTCCTTAATATCACACCTGCCTACCAGAAAACTACTGTTGAGGCAGGTTTTTTAATAACCCCATGTCTACAAACAGGGTACTGGGCATTTCTTTTCAGTTTTATTGTAGCTGCAGGTGAAACATCTGGTTTGAGTTACTGAAGAGAATAAACAGTAACTGCGATACCAGGAAATCTCTTAAAGGTTTGGTCTCAAATAGCTGCTGTTTAAGCCCATTTTGACAGCTTTCAAAATTTTATCTCTTTGTGCTGATGAACTAATTTGAAAGCTCTAAACCAAGCTAACAATGAAAGGCTTTGATAGCTCCTCATTCTTCAAATAATCCTTCGTCCCATTCAGGTTGAAAACAAAGGGGAAAGTGAAACTGAGGAAGGTGATAAAGTGCAAGAAGGAGAAAATGAGAGAAATCCAGAAAAAGAGCAAGATAGTGAAGTGACTGCCGAAGTCAAGCCAGGTAATGGTTTCCAGCTGTTCCTCGAGCCGCATTGCTGTAACAACCTGCCTCTGAAGTGGTTGGAATAGACCATAAACTTAACTGTGGCAGAAATATTTCCTCTTGCACGTCAGGCTGTTTCATGGTTCAGTGGTAAATATTCTGCTTTAATTTCACTGCAAAGCTTGAGCACTAAATTCTTTCCTGAACTCATTTTAGACTCCGGTTGGTCTTTCATGTTGTCGATAGTGACTGGGTGAACAAATTGCCGTTCCAAAGCAGCACAGGTCGTGCACATTCTTTTCCTTCCTCTGTATTACTGCACTATTTGATCATTTCTGATGCAAAGAAATAGGACTGCTGACTTTTATACTTAAAGCTAATCTGCCAACTCAGCTTTGCTATGAAGTGGTGCTGAGCTTTTACTTTGGCAAACTGAAGAGAACTGCCTTTTTCTCTACTTAAAATAAATAGCAATAAAGTAGCATCTTCGTATGTCCATATGGCACAACTAGAATATATTGTTGTTACCTGGAATTCATGTTCAATATTTTAGTCACAGGTAAAACAAGACCTGGTTTTACCTACAAAAGCAGGTGCAATAATAGCGTTGATTGGAAATGCAGCGAAAATTGTTCTGATGAGGAAGCTGATGGTAGAAAAAGAGTGGACAGGCTAGAATCTAAAAGTGCTTGAAGATGACATTTAATTGGACCAGATTCCCTTAGGATTGCTGTTTTTGGACCATTTGCCATAGTGTAGGGACGCTACAGCATGGGAATGAATATGTTGCCTAAGAGTGTGTGTGGTAGAATTGCCCCCCAAGATGCAGTAGCTGTTAACGAAGGGAGAGCGTTCATAACAAATTTGGGGGAAATCTCTTCCAGAAGAGAAGGAGGCCGAAGAGAACAAGGAGAACGTTGATGCTAGCAAAGACAAAGAAAATGAGGCTGGGAAGAAGAAAGTGGAACACGAAATCTCAGAAGGAAACGTAGCTACAGCTGCAGCTGCTGCTCTTGCCTCAGCTGCCACCAAAGCCAAGGTTTGTTTTATACGGATATCCACTTCCAGCTCGTATTTGAACTCTTTAAAACGGTCCTTTGTTCCAGTCCCGTGGGATTTCGTGTTCTAGTCTAATACCTTGGAAGAGCGCAAGTGCCATCTTCCATTTCTTCTGCTTGAACTCCTAAATGAAATTATGTATAATTTATTTCAGGCTACTTCACGTAAGCTTATGCAATCCGTCCGTCCCTAAGAAACGGCCCCAGACTGTGTTCATGGCTTTTGGAAAGGTTTTGCTCTGCATCTGTAGCTGCAGCGCCGCCGGCAGCGGTGGCAGATGCCCTCTGCTCCCTGCGTGGCTGTGCCCGCGGGCTGCTCTGTGGGCTTCAGCAAATGGGAAACCCTCTGCACTGGGACTGCATCCTAAAAACAACGTTGTGCTTAATTCCAGTGTCAGGATTAGAGGTGTTGCATGTCCGCTAATGAGCGTAACACAAGAACACGTCTTTAAATTTGTATTTGTTGTCTACAGTCCCTTCAAGAGCTGTAGTCTGAATCACTGTTCTGTGCAGTGACTTTACTAATTGAATGTTCTGCTTCATTGGTTTTGTTTTTGCTGGAATGAATCTACCTTTGCTTCCTTACATTCTTTTTTTCCAAAATGTGTTTCCTCTTTACATATTTATTTGGTTCAAGATGCAGTTTGGGTGTCGTGCCACTCTTGGATTCAGTGCGGTATTGCTTTATATCTAGCAAAAGGAAAGCATGGATATGATTTATTTCCTGATAGTTTTCCAGGACATAATGGTGGGCATAAGGAAGTGTTGGCTGAGTTATACTGATTTTTTCCAGTCTGATCTCCTTTGACTCGTGAAGATTTAGTTTTGGCTTTGCTCTGGGTGCCTCATCCATCTCGTGAGGGTAATACAGTGTTACCATGAGACGTGGGATCCGTTCTCTGTTAACTCAGGAGATTTGAGTCTATTTCTAGTCAAGGCAGGTTCTCAAATCAAAAGTTACTGCCTTCCACATTCACTACCATGGCTGGGCGGCCCAGCTGTGTTATATTGCTGCTGAAATGCTGGAAATAGGGGGCAGACTGAATTTTGTTAGTGCAGTGCAGAGTCCTCACTGGCTTCCTGCAGATCGCCTTGCCTGTGCGCTCCCGAACCCTTGGCGTGCAGTTTGATGGGTATTTTAGGGGAGACTTTTCCCCCAAATATGCTTGGAGCAATTCCTCTTCCCTTGGTGGTTATGAGGGCTAGAGGGAGAGGGATCTAATGATAACTTTCTGTATAATAATGTTCTAGGAGAATTGTAGCTTTATATTGCTAAAATAATGCATTATAATTAGGACGTTCATGCTTCAGAGCTGAATTCAAGTTCATCAGGGTTTTTTCTTTCCATTTGCACTAAAAACCAGACAATATTAAGGTTTTCAGTGAGCTGTATCATCCTGAGCAATTCAACTCTTGAAACCAAACTTCAGACTTAAAACACTTCTCACCTGAAGAGCTGTTGTGAAACTGCAAGAAAGGCAGTTTGTATTAGTGAAATATTGCAATTAACTTAAGAATATATAGCGATTAAAGGCACTCGAATTTCCTTGCTTTTGAGATGGGACAGCTCTGGGGAGGCCACTTGATTATCTGAAAAATGATGTCTGGTGGATGTGCTCATTTTTGGGAGAGACTTGCTGATGCGTTCCCACCCTTTTGAGATGGGACAGCTCCGGGGAGGCCACTCGCTTATCTGCAAAATGGTGTCTGGTGGGTGAGCTCATGTATGGGAGAGACTTGCTGATGCGTTCCCACGTGTATTTGTACTTTACAAACACGGTTGTTATTTGAATCCCTTTCTTCTCAGACTGTTACACCAGCAGCAGCTCCCCTTCGTCTCCATCCACGGCACGGGGCGGGATCCAAGTCTCCTCTCCTGCCCATCACTGTTCCCCTTGTTGGTTGTGGCCGAGCTGTGGATCTGCTGGAGCATCCAGCACTCACACTGCCCAGCAGGACTGTTCTCCTCATAATTTGACCTCCTGCATAATATTGACCATAGAACTTAATTTCTGTTTTAAATTAGTTGGGATTAAATGCATGTTTTCACTGATAGTGATATCAAGACTAGCGATGTGGAATCCCCTATAATCCTCCAGAATTTGTTCCATGGCTCATTAACGTTGCTGTTAATCTCTGTTCTTAGTCTGAACTGCCTCTACCACTGCCAACTGCCTGGCTTCCTTTGCCTGTTGAATTGCAAAGCCCTTGGATATCACCTCTTCCTTTCGCTTGTAGCAGCTCAACGGGAAGCCTTGGAGCATTTTCTTTTTCCAGCGAGAAGAGCAAGCTGTGAGCCCCGTTAGGGCTGGCTCCTCTTCACGCAGCGTTCAAACAAGCCATCCTCTCCAGGCTGTGTGCAGCTATCCACAGGGTGAAGCCGATGCCGTGCGCGCGCTCCTTGCTTGCCTTTATCTGCACTTCATTATCTCAGCCTTTAAATACAGCTTCGCCTTTAGCTTTCTACTGAAATGGGAATACTAAGCGACCTGATTATAAAAGGAAGCAGGAGATATATATAGATATATATGTTTGAATTAGTTCTGAAAACTTTGTATACCAATAGACAGACGTAGCTTAGTGAAGACTTCTGTGCAGACTCTCCCAGCCTGAACTGCTGCACTGAGAAAGCTTAGTTTAGTGTTTGTGAATGCAATGGAAGCATGCTTAACTAGAAAGCTTCTAATTTAGTTAAGCAAAGAATATTTGAGTGGCAAAGGCATACAGGAGTGTCCTCGGTGTTTCTGTGGGTCCTTCTCCCCTGGGAGTACCTTGGTGAAGGCTTTTTGGGTAGCTCGGTTTGACCCAGCCTTCGCTCACTCGTTTGCAGTTGCTCTGTCTGTGGCTTCAGGGCTAAACTGGATTGCTAATGGGAAGTGAGCAGGCACGATGCCTTTCGTGGTAAAATTTGACACCTGTTTATTTGTTAAAAGCTTAATTTTCCACGGGCTTTTGGTTCTGAGCATGAGGTTGATGATGTGAAGTCTTATTTTCTCTTCAGAAGAGAAACGGAGTGGCTGAAGCTAGATGCAGGTGTGCTTGGTTATTCCTTCCCTTAAAGTACGTTTTTGTTTCACGCACATTTCACAAAATACTCTGTTTTACCCTCAGCACCTAGCAGCAGTGGAAGAAAGAAAGATCAAGTCCCTGGTGGCCCTTTTGGTGGAAACACAGATGAAGAAGCTGGAGATAAAACTTCGTCACTTTGAGGAGTTGGAGACCATCATGGACAGAGAGAAAGAGGCAGTAAGTAGGGGAATACTCTTCCGAAATTCCCGTTTAAACCCCTTGTGCTAACAGCTGGAAAACCAGCAGCTTCAGCTGTTCCTCACCTTTATGCAGTTCTTCATACCTCAGCAGAATTCTTAATTACTCCATTAAATTACAGCATTTGATTCTCTCCTGAAACATAAGGAGCAAACTAGTTGTATCCTGGATTTGCTTCCTAATCCTTATTCCTCTGATCTAGGCACAAACACAGAACTGAGTGTTCATGAAGTACCATGAGCAATATCTGACTTAGGAATGTTTTTCCCTGTAAAGAAGATGAAGTGGTTGGAAACTTTACCCTTTGCCTAGAAGGGAGGGAAACCAGGACTGCCAGTTTAGACTGGAGATGGTGGTTTTAAGTATCTAGTTCTGTTTAGGAGGGTGTTCTCAGTAGCTCTTGGAAAACTCTTCAAAGGGTGATGCAGTAGCAGCAGAATGCATGCTAAGGAGTAACAGTTTCTCATTTTGTTATAAAGAAATTGCTTGATCTGGAGAGGGAAATGGCAGCTTGAAGAGAAGGGAGGGACACTAATACCAAGAGTTGAGAAAGATGAGAAGAGCTAATGATTGTTCTTGGGGAACAGAGAAGTATCCAAATGAAGCCACATTAGCAAATCAGAATGCAAAGCATCATCTGAAGTGATGTGGAAGGCAGAGAAGAGGATCTGGGCAAGCGAAGCAAGAAGCTGCTGTCTGCAACCTAGCAAAGTAGTAAGCCAGAGCACAGGTTTTGATTGAGGGCTACCCGACTGAAAGGTAGTGACACTAAAACGGTATCTACAGTGCATTCCGAGCAGGGCTTCATTTATAATGCAACAGTGACATCCCAAGACTTGTGCATAGCTATAATCAGGGGATAGTGTGGAAGAGAGGCTGTCTCTGCCTGTCAGAGCTGGGCCCTGCACCTCGTGCTGGGTGTTCTTTCACATCCAGCTCAGCTGCCTTTCAGAGGAGCAATTTCTCTGCAGCTCCTGGGAAGATGCCTCGAAACTTGATTTTTGTTGGACACTGGGCAAATTTTGCGATATTTCTCTGTTGTGCAATTAGATTCTCGTCAATACGTTGTTGCTGTGGGTATGCTGAGAAGATAGTCGTGATTCCAGGGTCTTTCCCCGTGCTCTGCCATGTGGGTTTAATGGAGCTGCCACCCTCACCTTGGCATTAATCACCCTGATGGAGTTTGACAACGTGTGCTCTGTTGTTGT